TTTCAAGGGAATGGGAGACAAAGAGCGGCGGTGAAACGTTGGGCTGCTGAAGTTTCGAGGCCATCTTGAGTGAGGTGGAAGTTTCGAAGCGACAATTGAAAACAGACAATGCTCAAGTGGATGACTCTGGGGGTCTCGAACTAGTCAAAACACTCAAGCGCCGATGCTCCGTCCTAAGGTTGATATGGATGATTCATCTTAAACGCGTTTAACTTGGGCCGATCGGTACCGAGTTCGGATTCGCCTTTAACCTTCGGCGCGGTGAAAGAAAATTGCCCCGACTCACCCCACTCCGGCGCGGGATTTATGGGGCGTGACGGGGGGTTGACGCCGTGCGGAACAGCGCAGGCCCGTTGGCCTGAGAAGGCATTCGGATTCATCTTGGAGCGATGAAGTACAAGAAGGGCGAAGTCGCGAGATCGATCACCCTCATTCTGTTTACTTCCGGCTGTTGACGTGGCTGGTGGGCTCACGGCTCAGTGAGCTAGTCTTCTTTGGCGTTGAGTAAGCAGGAAAAAGGAAAACTCCTCTGTGTCGTGGCTTTTTCACACATTCAGCCTCAGATCGCCCAACCACAGCATCGGGCATCTACTTCGACCACTCCGATCGAGCTACCTCAGTCCTTGATCTTGTACCAGAAATCGAAGGAGGAATATTTTCGCTCATTGACGACGCTGCCAGCGCAGAAAACCCTGTGCAGGTCACGATGTCTGATCCCTCACTTCCTCGCCAGCGACCGCCGGAGAGGTCAGACGCGCATTTCTTCAACCCTTCGCAAACAGTATCTGAGCATACAAAACCACCGCAGAAACAGCTTTCTTCAATAACCGCCCAGCACGGAAGTCTAAGAGCTACCGGCAGGCCTCTCTCCGATGACCCATTCGCTCTGATCCCAGCCGCATCCTACAGCGCGCTGGCACAGCTCTACCAACTTGTACGGCTTTGTATAGGCGATCAATCTCAGATCGCGCGTCTCCTTTCACACTCGCGACAATCGGGCCTTGCACCAGCAGCTGCGGCACTAGTTGGCGGTGGATACGCGCGTAGCTTCGCGGTCGTGGTGTTTGCTGTGCTGGTGAACCACGTTAGGAGGATGCTCGCGCCCGCGCTGGGCGTGGGCGCGTTCGGGGACCCCATCGCCACTCTGAAACTCGCTGTAGGCAGTCCAGCGCTTTTCCTCAAGGAGGAGATTGAGGTTGGCTTCTTTGGAAGGGTGTTCACCCGGGAAGGGGCATCGAAGCTCCTTGGAGATGTGATTGGGACTGTCATTTTTCAGCGTGTCTTGATCGACTCTGCCTCGGAACTGGACCCGATCAATAGAGACACCAATTTCAGGCCAGAGAATCCAGATACAAGCAGGAGAAGGACAGGTGTAGATGAGATTCGGATTAGGGCGATCGAGAAGCGGAAGACTGCCGCGCTTGTCGTCTATCTGGTCTGGATTCTAGGATGTGCTGAGTATCTCCACGCGAGAGTGGCTCATGTTGTGGCCGTCGGCATTGCATATTCCAAGCTCTTGCGGGGCGGACTACTACACAAACAGGCTTTACGGGAGGTCCTTCTTCCCTTCACGTCGCCCTACTCTTCGTCGCTCTTTAAATGTCTTGGGGAGGGTCTTAGCGTCGTTGGGTTTCATCTCGAGCTAGTATGCTTCATTGCCTGGGGCCTCTATCCGCTACTTAGACTCGCCACAGGCTCTACGCTCAGGATGGATCCGAAGAAGAGCAGACCGGAACTGGCGATATTGATTGCTGCTTGGGCGTGGGGAACTGGATACGTGACGAGGTACTCAAATAAGTACTACATCGGTCTGGAGATCAGCGGACTCCTGCTCGTGATGTGGTGGATTTCCGCTTATGGCATACTCCTTAGCCTATATATTCGCGATCTCAAGCTTAGGCATGGTGCTCGAGAGCTTAGCTGATAGATGTAGAAGTCTTTCATGTCTATCATCTCCCGTCCCGGAGGCCTCGAACGACAAGGCAAATTGCAAGTATGCATGAGGACCCAATATCAAACGTGTTGCCTCGCTTGAACACCTTCTACATTCTTATGGTCTCCCTTAGCCACTTCTGTCACCAGCCACATTTGATACGAGCTTGCGACAGGGCTCTACTATAAAGTCAAATTCATGAGTTGCTAGCTCGATTCTGGGGCTGTTATGGGATACTTCAGTTTGCAATCAATGCCTTATTGTCTGATACTACTGGGTTCAGAACTAAGCTGACAGGTTGTTGAAGAGATTCAGACCTGAATTGGGACTTGGAATGATCATGAGGTCCTTATGTTATAACATGCAGAAGGTATTCAAAACGTATCACCCACTTATCTCTTCTTTCAAGCCACCAAACATATAGCTCAAGGTCAGGTACCTTACCGTAAAAGTGAAGTAATCCGCCGCAAGATATTGTGAATGCGAGAGCAAATCCGCCAATGGCAAACCCTCCTCGAACATCACTCTTGACTAAAGTCCATGTAACCGATATCGCGAGACAAAGAAGGAATCCAGCACAGCCGAACATGAATGCATAGAGTTCGTTCGGCGTCTCCATGAACTGCATACCCCATCCATCGGAACTTCCTTTGATTGGACAAGGTTGTAATTTTTCTCTCATCTTCCGAGGTATCCTGTTGAAAAGTACCGGAAAAATATCAGCATGATCAGGATTTTCAAACAAATGCATCATGAGATTGACTCCGATTGGCGGCTCAGTATCTGCTGTTTCATGATCGAAATCTGGTCCAATGGGCAGAAAGGAAGACCGAGAAATATTGACCAGTTGGGTGCGGAAGAGTCCAAACTGAGTTCAGTCAAGGGTCGTGTTAGTGTCAGGTCTTAATGGAAAGCGCATCTTGGATTTGAATACTTAGAGGCTATGTGGGTTGAGAAGGGGTCAAAGTATCATACCTTGAAAAGTCCAATGACTTTGACTCTCCTAAGACAACTCTAACGACTTTGGGCTCGATATGTCTCTTAGGACGCGCGCAGCAAGTGGAAGAAGTTTTGGTCAGATCGAATATCGCACACATCAGGCTGATCAGTCTTTGTACCCCATCTCATGAAGGGAATACATAAAAGCACGAAGCTATGACGCAATACCGATGGCCTTCCCACTTGCTTCCGAGACGATTTGCAGAGATCAGGGTCCTTTCCATTCGAGCTGAGGACTTCATGATGCTGAGGAAGATTCTTTCGGGGATTGACATTCGCCCCGTTTTTAAACCAGCCGCCTATTCTGTTGAAGATCAGAGTCCCGGAAGCATCTTGAGCTTTAGAGTTCTGTTCTGGAGTAACAGAGATTGGCTCAGATTGTCTCAAAGACACTCCGGAGTAGCGAATAAGAAGGCTTTTGAGACGCCAAAAGCCGCCAGGCTTCTTCTCTATGTAGCTGGCCACCACAACCTTTCCGCAATGAGGCTACGATAGTAAACGGGCCAGTCAGCTTATTGATGTGATAGGAGAAACCTTTTAACATGTCATGCAGTCGTTCAGTTCATTCACAGGTAGCTCAACTCACACAAAGCCACTCGACCTGCTTTCCCGCGGAGACTAATAGCTGCTTCTTCGAAAATGATCGGTAAATGCATACAATGCCTTTTCGCAAGAGAGCAGGGAACCTCTTGTAGGGCACTTGTAGTCTTGTGGCATGGGTACTACGGGTTGAGTCGATGATTCTTTTCTTCAAAACTCTCTTGAGTTTCCCAGGCTATCGTTTCCTTCAAAGAAACCTTGGTGGTGGATAGACTTTTCTCGAGAAAGCTCAAGCTCGGCCGTAAGTAGCGGTATTATCAGCAATGTAGGATATAGCGATTTCTTACGGCGTAGTAAAAGCACTCCCAGCAAGCCGAGGAACCAGTCCAACCTCTGCCTGCGAAATAAGCTGTTGAGCCTCCGTTACTTTACCATTCGTATGAGACTGGGTACGGCCTTAGCGAGCATCATTGATAGAAGTATAAAACATTACTCTCGGCGATTGGACATTACACGTAGATTGTGCATTGGGTCTTGAAGCTTGCCCTAGTCTCAATCGCGTTACACTGCCCGGAACGGGTAACTCTATGGTGGTTCTATGTCTGTAGCCATGGACACGATGCTGTTGACGAGATCCCCACTGGGGCAAGTGAGACGACCTATACGTCACGTATCAAGAGTACTTGAACGTCGCTAGCTCTGAGTAAATGGCTTGTCTCTAGCAACCTGTGCAAAATTTCTAGCTCTATTACACGAAGCCAAGAGCCCAAGAGGATGGATGGGTAAACGGCCATTGATTCCCTTCCTCCACTTGGCGCGGTCTCTCACAAATGGAGTCTGAGCGGGGCAGAGGTGATAATGCTAGGATTCTTGTGGACGGATCGCGTATCCCGTCCAACAGCGTGGGCTACCGGAACTGTTCCTGGCCCATGAAATACTGCGGACCAGGTCCATGGAGCTGCAGCTGTCCGAATGGGGTCAAAATGTGGCTGGCTTTCAAGTACCAGCTGGTAGCAATCCTTGCTCTCGAAACTCTGCTCCAGTCCAACGACGTGCACAAAGGGCTCAAACACTTGAAGCTTTTGAAGATTCCAACTGAATATCCCGAAAGATATGGATGACAGATCATCCAAGCTGTTTTCAGTCTCGGTGATGATTGGATTTACCGACTAGCAGTGTACAGACGAGCAGCGATGGCTTTCGAGGCTGTCGGACGGCAGGTGTCTCTTCGTGTTGTGGGCGGAGGAACAGCCCACCTACGAGGAAACAAACAACGGTGGAAGGAGGTCGGTCTTCTGCACGCTCTAGTCCGCATGCGGCCCGCATAACGATATCGAACAATGCAGTTGGTTCCAACAGGACCAACAACATCGATGTCTGCCAAGCTGCGGGGGTTTACCTGTTATCCGTGGCTTTACAAAACCCCGCGACATTTCTAGCCGCTCTCGCGATCATCTTGCGACTAGATTTGTTCTTCAACTCCATATCCAAGTCCACACCAACTCATTGATCTCAGTCGCCAATAATCATGGCGGACTCAACTCCCAAAGCAACGGCAAGCCCGCCAACAGGCGCTCCCAAGTCAGCAAAGTCCCCGAAGTCGCCAAAAATACCGCCAAAGTCGGCTGCTACTCCCGCCGGGCCAGCGTCCGCGACTAGCCCAGCAGCAGCAGCAATACCAGCAGCCATTCCAGCAGCCACTCCAACATCGTTAACGGGCACGGGAGCGACGCCAGCCCCCCAGTCTCCTCCCGAAGATGCCGAGAGCCCGGCCACGATTGAGATTGACGATGGAACAACTGTACGTTCATCAGATTTGATAGAATCCACTTTCCGCCGCACGAAGTCAGAGTCTAATTCATCTCTTAGGACGATGCGTCAACCATTGATGACAGAATGTACTGAAGCCCACAAACCCTGACTCCTTCAACATCGTAATTTCCTGTCTCATGGGAAGAATGCTTCCAGTTTCAACATGTACTAATGCTTACTCCGTAGTTCCTCGTACACTGCCTCACTGTCATCTTCTGTTCTTGATTATCCTACCGAGTACGGCCGACGTTATCATGCCTTCCGATCTGGCGGTGAGTTAAAAATCCCATATGCGGATCTGTGTCACACGTGTTGGTCTTATAATAGATCACATCAAAGTCATGGGCACACATGAGCTACCTCCATAAGCTTCAATCCATGCTAATTAGTGGAACAGCCTACGTATTCCCGAATGATGAGGTACATCCTTTCCCTTGTAGCAATCACTTCATGGTCACAAAAACACTAACAAGAATATTTCTCGTAGACTGAAATGGACAGACTTGATGTGGTGCACACATTGCTAGTCAAGACCATCGGAAATCGACTCTTTCTTGCACCGATTGATGAGCACAAGACTCACCGGATTCTTGATGTGGGCACTGGTACTGGAATATGTGAGTATCCGCTCGATCGCGCAGCCGTGCTTGCTGTTGTGACGCCAGGCTCATATTTTTCTTGCGTCGTAGGGGCTATGGAAATGGGTGATCTATTTCCAAATGCAGAGGTAATTACAAAACACCAAGCGCGTACCTTTTGATGCTTTGGTATCTGACAAAGACGCAGATCCTTGGAAATGACCTGAGCGCTATTCAACCAGCGTGGTACGTTTACTCATCAAGTTTGCTCGCTCTTGACCATCAACTAAGCCCAAGAACTCATGTCACAGGGTTCCACCTAACGTCAAGTTCGAGATCGACGATGTCGAAAGCGAATGGATCGGGGAGGACAAGTACGATTTCATTTTTAGTCGTTACATGGCTGGCGCCTTGGCAGATTGGCCAACATACGTGAGGCGAGTCTATGAGTACGTCCAAGACCCGATGAGTTTCGTCATTGCTTGCCATTCTAACATTTTCTCAGGAACTTGAACCCTGGAGGCTGGGCCGAATTTCAGGACTGGGACTATATGCTTTATTCGGATGATGGAACAACTGAAGGCACCGAACTGCTTCGCTGGATGGGCTACTTCATGGAGGCTTGCGAGGTCCTGGGCCGTGATGGACAGGTCGGGCCGAAGTTGGAGACGCTGGTAAGGGAGAACACCGGCCTGATCAACATCGTCCATAAGCCTTTTAGAATTCCCGTTGGACCTTGGGCGAAGGACCCTCACCTGAAGGATATCGGGATGTGTAATCTCATTCAAATGTTGGATGGTTTGGAAGCCTTCACCCTAAGACTCCTCTGTGGCGTCCTGGGCTGGACCAAGGAGGAGGTTCTAGTATTACTCACAGGAGTGCGCACCGAGCTGAGAACTGGAAAAGCCCATGCTTGGCTGCACTAGTAAGTGGTTTTCTACCAACCAGCGCAAAATTAGGTTGTGCAAGAACTGACTCTCGTATAGCAGTGTTGTGTACGGCCAAAAGCCAGAGACAGAAGAAGAATAGCCTTAACACAAAAGGCATGGCGAGCACCTCAAGCATACATGGACGATGGCATATGTGAGAAGGAAATTAACTACACATGATAATGGAATATGCGGATTGATTCGGCGGGGCTTTGGAAATCAGATCCGGTCCGCGGCTCGAGCCATCAGAGGAATGACTCCATTGTGGCTACATCATCTTCTCATGTTTGCAATATTATTAGACTCAGTAGATGACTTCTGCCACCACAGGATTGACGCATTGCCGCCATGTTACGTTCCTGACGTAGCTCGTTACTTTCTGCTTTTCTCTGTGGACTAGCAGCCGACTTTTGGGTCGGTTTTCCTTTACTCCTTTTCAACGCCATCGCATAACCCTTGACCATCGACAACCACTCGTACACCAAAATTAAGAGATTGATAAAAGTTACCGCTAGACCTCGCAACCAACGGGAGCCTCATCATTGTCACCCAGGATTCCTTATATATACCGCCTCATACAATTGATCCGATCCTCCCTTAACTTCGTTCCGTCGTATGCTTGAAGTCTCTCTGTACTCGAATGGCGTGAAGGGGGATTTCATCCTCGCTCTTGTCATCTCTCTCCTTGACGGGATAACTCGAGACCGAATACCCAAACCCAGTGGTATCTGGTCTCAGCTTGGAGTCCTCTAGAGGAGGTGTAGGCTGGCGGCTGGTGCCCTCAGATCCGTTGTCATCTGGCAACCGGTAAAAGGCATCTTCGCCGGCGCCGTGTTTGGTCGTTGAGAGATTGCGGGCGATTTGTGAGCCGCCGTTGGTCGTATGGGGGTCCTGCGAGGACATGCCGTTGCTGAAGTTGGACTTATTCTTGCTGGAACCGAAGCCCAGCGCCGTCGTGCTGCGGAACATGCCGCCCATGCTGCCCTTGAAACCGCAAGCTCGAACGATGCGCTGCATGGCGGGACGGATGGTAGGTAGGCAGGCGGAGACAATGCCGGCGGACATTTCGATGGCGGTCCAGCCAACTGTTGGGGCGAGGGTGTAGCTCGGGTCGGTACCACTGTAGGTGAAGAGGACGCTCGTTCGGTATGCCGAGGTGAAGACAACACTATGACACGGGTGAGCAAGACCGAGTGATTGTGGTTCTTACGGCAGAAGGCACTTACAAGAAACCGAGACCGAAGGCGAAGGTCAGGGCAATCTTCTCAGCTTTTTGCAACTGCAGCTTCCACACCTGAGGAAGAGGAAGCAACAAGATGAGAAGATCGGTGAAGATGGTTGAGGCTGCGTTGGCGATCCAGGTTGCAACTTGGTTGATGCATCTGCCCGGGATGTCGGGATACCAGAGCTTCTCGACAGGGACGCAAATAAAGATGAAGAGGAAGGTAATGCAAATGACCCAGGCGAAGACAAAAGAGATGACGAACCACGTCATCTTCTTGAAGAATGGGATGTGAAAGATGCGATAGTACATCAACATCAAGCTGAGCTTGGTCCAGCCCAGGTTCCAGGCGTAAAGAATCTCTGCCACGACGAGATACTTGGCCATCAACACGATATTGTCGACGCCGACCTTGTCTGCGTGGAGGCCCATGCCCACCGAGTGCATCGCGAAGATGAAGCCAACAACAACAAGGTTCCATAACTACTACACAGTCAGCTTCTAGTCATATCTAGAGAGTCATGGCTCTGATTAGAAGCATGATGTTGGTGGGAAACGCACCATCGACCAGACAATCAAGTAGTCATCCCACCACAGCTTCTGACCCTTCGTTTGGCGACTGATGAGGCGGAGAACAACGGCGAGTACTGCGAGGACCGTCACCGAAACCACAACTTCGACGGTCCATGGTTGAATGTTCTGAGGGTCGTATCCAGGAAGCCCGGGCAACGGTGACGGACCTGAGTCGGTCGACATCTTTTCGTGAGTGAAGTGCCTTTCACCTCACTGCGGCGATGTGTTGAGTAATTCTACAGATGCCGCGGGGAAGAGAGAACCAAATTCTCGGGAAACGGGGGTGGGAGGACCCAGCCTGATAGCTGCGAACAGAAGAAAGAAGGAGGGTCTGGTCAACTACCAAGGGAAGGGGACGGGTCAACGCACATTCATCAATCTCTCTTCACTCCGAACGGATTCGCTTCGCAAGAGGACTCCATAAACAGAAGCAGGGCAACTGGATCACTTTATTCTGCCCAGGCACCGACTTGAAGGATGGGCAGAATCCTTCTGCAAGAAACTGCCGTCCTATAGCCCTGGCCCCAGAAAACAACGTGAAGCCTGTTAAGAGACGAGCCCCTGGACAACGTGGGAATGACGAAAAGCTAGGAAAACTGGGGAGGAAAGAACGTGTGTTCTTGGTTAAACACATGCGAGGATGGTGAACACTATGCGAGGGTCTGATGGAACTCTCCGTTCGGCCGCCATTGCTTCATTCCTAAAACGGCGGCCAAGAAGAGGGCCGCATATATGTCAAACGAGATATGCAACCAAAAAGGGAACTCGATCATCCACAGGAGAGGCGAGCGAGTGGGTGGACTGACAGGAAAGGATATCTAATAGACCTGCAAGGTTCACAAAAGAGGTAAATTCTTCGATGCCACGAGGGATGTCAGGCAGGCCCCTGGTCTGTCTCCTGTCTATGTATGCACGTTGCTGTATTATTTCGTACTTCAGTTGCTGCCATTGCTCGCCGCAATGTTGATCGCCTCGTTTCCCAAGCGAGAAAGGCATAGAAAGTCCACAATAAGTGAGTGTTTTTCCACGCTTTGTGGACCAAGGTTGCTAGCGGCCAAAGGATGACAGGCCTCTGCAGGTCGAACGACGTTCAGAATTTCGGCGTTGTTCTCCACTGAATTATGCGATGCCCTGGGGCAAAGTGACATGGCTGGATGGGGATCATCCCGGATTGCTTCGCCCGGTGCTGGGATCCGACTTAGAGGTGCCTCGAATAGGCATCGGCTAGCACCCTTCCCTTCGGCTCTTCAAGTCTCCAAGGGCCACTAAGACGTTTTTGCTGGCGCTGCCTATTGCCCAGAGTTGGATTCCCCTGGTCGGCCCGGGGCTCTCGTTGTCGGGAGATTTTATGACGGCTGGGCCTTTGATTATGTGGTTGTTCTTACACATTGAATTCCGCATCCGGGCTTTGGCCGGCTTTGCCTTGAAGCTTGGAGCTTTTGCGAGAGCCAGGAACATCAGACTTTCCAACAAGGGCTCGCTTCCCCCCCTAGTCGAAGCCTCTGCAGCCGCATGCGTCGCAGATGAAATGCATGGCGTGTGGGATTGGGGGCGGCAGAAGGGGATCGAAGGAATGCCTCGCGTCAAACGATCGGCCCCGGCCGCTTGAAGAATTCCCCTGAAGAATTCCCGAATTCATCGCATCAGAGCCAGACATGTTGTGCGTTTAAAGCCTGGCCAACCCGTCCCCGTCCACTTTGCTCACAGACATTTTCGGCCTCCCACCCGCCTTATGTCTATGAAATACCGAACGGGTAGAAGAAACACTAGAGGAAGGATGTACCCGTCCCTCCCGACAGTTCGTTTCTCTTAGACGGGCGGGAAAGGGAATTGACTTTTGACTTTCAACGGTCCTGTCTCTTCCAAAACGACGGCGCCTTTATCAACCCTGACGCCACGAACCCGAAAATGGTATGAGATGAACCTCTCACCACCATGACCGCAACGCCATTCACAGCCGGCCCCGCTGCCGATGAGTGAACCCCCTTTCTAGCGGTAAAATGACCGAGCAAGAATGGCACCTCAGGTAGAGTCGTTCTCGGGTTCTTCGGTCGTCCGTCACCATAGCGCCAGCGAAGACGCTAGCTGGGGAGGACATGGCCACCGCCAGACTAAAGCTGGCTGTTCATTTCGCCCCTCAAAAAGCAGACCCCGAGTCATGTCCCGTCCCTGTTACCGATGTCTGTGCTTCGGCGATAGCACGAGTGACGAAAGGATATTCCTGGAAAACATCCAAGCCCAACGCGTGGTCGCTGATTACAACAAGCTCCTCTCTGGAGTCTGTTCCACTTGTCAAAAGAAGGATGTTGTCGGATACCGTTGATTGTCCCCTCCAAGGGACCAGGACTGGCGAATAATGAAGACTTGGTGACTTGTTCAAACTGGAGTCGTCCACAACCGTTTTTTCTGCCATCTCCACCTCACCGAAACAGGGACAGGCCTCACCGTGAGGCGACTCGTTTGGGAAAACCAGTCCGTGGTCTACTGCGACAGATGTTACGTTCAATTGGGCTCCCGAGGCTTCTCGGCGGAGTCGGCCGTTTGAGATACACCGCCGCCTCTGAAGTTTACCCAATGCAACCCGCAACTGGCGCCACGAGGGGTAGGATCTCCAGAACCCCTCAGGAGTTGCTTAGTACATGTAGAAATCTGCATCTCTTTCAAACCTACTACTAAACCTAACTTTTGTCCAAGCCACCTTTCTCTGACCTCTAGGAACCGAACCAAACTCAAAGCAGGTTGTTATACACTCGCAGACAGCAGAGCAACAGGGCCCAAACGAACTACCTACACACACAAATCACATCATGGCAGCCACAACCACCATCCAAGTCCCCCACCTCGGCGGCATCACGGCCGGCTACCGTCTGTCCGAGGACAAGGTCGACCCCGCCAAGCCCACCGTCGTCCTCATCAACTCCATGTGCACAACCGTCTCCCTCTACAATGACCAGTTCAACAGCAAGACACTGACGGACGCTGTCAACCTGCTGGCCATCGAGCCGCTCGGCCACGGCTCCACCAGCTGTCCCGTAGAGCACTTCACCTACTGGGACACTGCCATCATGGCCCTGCAGGTCATGGACAAGCTCAACGTTCAAAAGGCTTTTGCTCTTGGCACGAGCCAAGGTGGATGGATGGTCACCCGTATGGCCATTTTGGCCCCTGAAAGGGTACGTTACGATGCCACGTGACATTCAATGGTCCCGTTACACTGTCAATTTGTTTCCATGGGATCGCGATCTCTTTTGAAAAAAAGAGGATCGTTGTTTTTTCATGGGATTGAGTTTTCTGGACTGTGCTGA